AAAGTAATGTTAACTGGTGATCTCTTGATTTCACCTTCCTAGACACCATGGATTGCCGATGCCGATCACTGATGCTTCGAGAAGCTGCATAAGTGCCTGTGGCCAATATGGTACAAGCCAGATCATAAACACATGTGTCCTCGACTCACTCCTCTACGTCCTCCGTAACTGTCATTCCAAATACATGGCAATTCGAGAACTTTTCAGGTGTGATCGTACAATCAATGCGATTATGATCTTTCTACACATGGCGAGGTACAATGAGGCAAAGATGCTCTGGTTAATTCAACTGAACCTTGTTGAATTCAGCAAGTGTAAGTTCACTATGTGTGAGGAAGTTGACGTTTGGAGTGAGGTGGAGGATCACTTGCCCATGTTTAATGATCTGGCATGTGCCAAGTACCATTTTGATGAAGACAGAGCAAGTCCTCAGATCTCGGATGATCTATACCAAAGCACACTATGGTAAATATCTTGTTTTATATTTACAATTGCTCAGTCCTTATTCAAATAATGGTCCTAAATCTCTTTTAACCTCTTAACTTCACAGGCTTATTACATACTCTCACTGTTATTCAGTAACTACAAGAACTTCATTGCAAACTGGCTGAGGTATTTTTAGGTTATGGAAGTTTGTTGTAAAACGTTGGACCTATCAATGAATCTTAGCCATTTAAAGGGTTATAAAATAAAATAAAGAGATAAAGTATCCATGACAGTTTGACCCATCCTTGTTCATAAAGGACTAGACCTTTTCTCAGATGCTCCTATTATACCCATGCATTATTGCATCACTTGTTTAGGATGTCTTTTGAACATTTCACAATGTTTCTAGTCTCAAATTGCCCCTGTCCCAAATTAGAACATGTGGGACATGTTGCAGGCATCAATTTCAGAATGAGGATATATTTACAAAACACAACAAAGTTAATAAAGTAAAACATTACATATCTTGGCTTTGCACATTTATTTATTCAAATATAGGTCAGAGTAGATTTATAAATCACTGTTTTGTGTTTTCATTTGCACTTTGTCTACTGTCCCAACTTTTCTGAAACTCGGCTTGTATAACCAGTCCACAGTTGGGAATAAACTACTGTGAAATGCTGAAACTGGAAGTTCTTTTTAAACTGTACAGGAGAAAAACTCACACATAAGAAACATTTTACAGTATGACTTCATAATCATTATGAATAACTATTTAGTCAGTACTATGTAGTTATTCATAATGATTATGAACTGTCTGTATGCAGATAAATAAATGCTCAATATTCATGTTTCATAACATTATTGATGAGTATTAAATAACTAAACTATTATTAACAAACTTTTTTTATTATTAAATTATTATTAATTATAATTTTTTATTATTAACAAACCAGACATTGGACATACCTGATGTTTAAGGGTAGCCGGCATTTTTAAATCATACAAGGTCTTGTTCAGACGTAAATGTGTAGTATTCATTATAAAGTGGAAGGAAATGATAGTGAGGCTATTCTCTGTCTCTTCCTCTCTAAAACTATTCAGATCACCACTTAAAGTCAACTGAATATAAACCAAACAACACACATTTTTATTAATAAATAAAAACATAACAACATTCCCCTCAGCAGATATTTGAATTTTGGAACCAGTGAACATCAGCAAACAAATACCCAGTTAAGCCACCGTAGAAATATAATTTAGATCCTCACCTGGCAGAGGTCAAATAAAACACTTGTAGTGAAAGGACTGTTTTATTCTGTTTGGAGGTGTTGGGGTTATTCAGTAATGATAGAAATAAGATCAGTCCCAGTTACCTCAGATGGAGACATTGCACTCAGCTGAATGATTTCCAATTCTGCCTTGCCCCGAGACTGAGACACAAGATTGAGACAAGACTGAGTCCAAATTATGTGAAGATGGAGACTGTTAATTTCTCAAGTCTCAAGACTTAGACTGGACTTAAGTACTACAACAGTAGATCCTTGCACAAAGTTTTATTAAAATGTACAGTGGGCAGATCAACATTCAAAAAACAGTATTCAGGGCAAAAGGGTCAAAAAACGGTAGGCAGAGTAAGGCAGATAAAGCCAAGAAATCAGTCAAAATTCAAAAGATGCACAAAAGAGTGAGGATGAAAAAGGGCAACCACTATGGCTTGGAATTGCTGGGAGAAACACAGGCACAACTTCGCAAAGACTGAGAAGTAAAAGAAATCATTATTATAAGCATCATGAAGCATGAGAAATAGGTTGGTTCAATGAGCAGTAACCATGAAAATAGGATCAGTACAGTGCTTTTTTTTTCTTCTTCAGTATTAACATATGTATCTTATTTCCAGTGCATTTCAATGCTGCTGCGGTGATGTCAAGATTCTAGGGCTGAGCTACACAGACCCCCGCCTCGTACTGGTGAATGTCAATCAGCGTTTGGACAGAGCTCCCCAGCTTTACATCACAGACAAATACGGCAGGTAAGTACTGCAAATAGAATGTAAAATTTGTCTGCATTGAAAATGGAAACAGAGGGTAGGGTATCACAGAGAAACAAAGCCATGCTTGTCTTACCTACTTCCTATTGTCTTCCTTCAAACTCTTTCAGAACGTTTGAGCTTCAGTTCTTGCTGCTGTGTAACAAGAGTGAGCTTGTAAGCCATATGACCGGGTGCAGCAAACGAGAGGATAGATGGGTCCTCTATGACAATAACCCAGAGAAGCCACCTTTTGATGATTTCGACATTGAGAATGCAGATTTCAAAAGTCAATATATCATTCATTTGGCTGGATACGTCAACACATCACAAGCTGGGGACAAAGATGAATACGTAAAAGATGACGGTATGTTAATTTGACATTCTTTTGTTAGTGATAGAATATCAAAGGATTTTCTTATGCTAGTCTGCTTATAAAATATCATTTTTTTTCTTCTGGACCAGTGCCACTGGGATTTCTTGAGGATGGTTCTGATTGTGGGACGAGGGCGTTTAGCAGCACTATGATGAGCCCCTCAGCTACCAGGCCAGTAAAACTAAAGAAGCTTTGAGTATTTTGATAAATCTTAGCCTTAACATCAGAAAAGCACAGCACAACAACATGTTCAGTGTGTGTCTGTGGGAATTTTTTCCCGTTCATTCAGCAGAGCATCTAAGGTTTTGTATGCCTCTTCATCTGGCGCTTGCCGTTGTGATTGGCTATATAAGGCCTGCATGCAGTTGCTCTGCGATGGAAACCCATGCTACAATCTAACAAAAATTGGTTTTGTCTATGGTGCCGGAAACCCATGGTCCAGCGTTCCTGGCCCACAGGTTAATGCTGATGTTGGTACCGGAAGGAACGAAACCTAACAAAAATTTGTTTTGTCTATGGTGCCGGAAACCCGTGGTTTGGTGCTCCTGGCCCACAGGTTAATGCTGATGTTGGTACCGGAAGGAACGAAACCTAACAAAATTTGTTTTGTCTATGGTGCCGGAAACCCGTGGTTTGGTGCTCCTGGCCCACAGGTTAATGCTGATGTTGGTACCGGAAGGAACGAAACCTAACAAAAATTTGTTTTGTCTATGGTGCCGGAAACCCGTGGTTTGGTGCTCTTGGCCCACAGGTTAATGCCGATGTTAGTACCGGAAGGAACGAAACCTAACAAGAATTGGAGTCGCCTTTGCCGATGAAAAACCCACATTATGAAGCTCTGTACGCTTACTGTGGTCCAGATTAAATAAAACAATTAAAAAAAATTAAAAGTCGTGTTTTGTAATTCTTTGTTAGGAAATTGCAGTTTAGGCAACTGCGCTCAACAAATCTGCAATATCTTGATATTTTTGCCCAAGACAAAAATGTTTGTGCTTCTGTTTATGTTTTTTAGGGTCCTGATACTGAGAATAGTTTGTTTAACCCTTGTGTGGTATTGATGTTTTAGTTATTCAGTGGTCTTGTGGACCCACCACATTATTGTTTTTTTTAAATAAATACAGCCATAACAATTTATGTAAAAATATCATCACAAGTAGCCAGCATAAGTTCTCCTTTAGCAGCTATAGTTAGTCAGCAGCCTATCCATTTGGTCCACCCTCACACACGCACACACACACACACACACACACACACACACACACACACACACACACACATATACAAACACATACACACACAGACACAGCACCTCCACACTTCTATTCCCTGTGGATTCACCCCAACAGCACATGTGTAATATAAACGTGTAGGGGGTGAATAGTGTGAAGATGTGTTATTTTATATGTTCTTCACAGAAAATGAGCAAGGACCAATGAATCTGAGGTTGAAATAACAATAAATCACATCATTTTTTCTTTTGCTAAACACTGAAAATGGGTCCCACAGACCCCAAAACCACACAAGGGTTAAAGCTGATGTATGGTATTCTAGGGTTTAATGTTGTCTATGTTGTTGTTTTCATGATCTTTGGATTGCTCCAAAGTTGTTGTTGTTGTGCTGTTCCCACTTTGCACTAAACAATCAAATATTTTCAGTATTGCAGCAATTAGTGATGATGCATCACATTTACATGCTCACGCTAACATCATATTCTTTCTCTTTCTTTCTGCCCCATCGCAAGCAATCATGCCCATCAAGCCCATTCTGTCGTCGAGGGACCTATGATAATGTTACAGTGCCTTTGGAGAAGAAGTTTATTGAATGGACTAAAGTAAATAATATCCGGTGCTAACCAGCGGAGGATGGGTTGTCCCATATGAGTCTTGGTTCCTCCCAAGGTTTCTTCCTTAGTAAATCTAAGGGAGTTTTTCCTCGCCACTGTCGCCTTTGGCTTGCTCACTGGGGCCTGAGCCCGGATCTGTATAGTTGTATAGTGTATATATCAAAGATTTTATATATTTATTTTTTCATGTGTAAAATACTAATAAACAGTAAAAAAAAAACACTAAATTTGTTTGTCATAATTCATTCCGAATGCAACTACATAATAATAGGAAAGGTCTCCTACCTCTCCTACTATCTACTGTCTATATCTACTTCCTACAGCCGTCACTTGTGTAAATAATACAAGATACATCATCAATAAGTAAATTAAGCAGATGTGCAATGAATGAGAAAATAGCACTCTAGGTGATCATTTTATAAGTAAATCTGATGAGTTTCAAGTCTTAAGAATACAATAGCTGTGGGAAAAATATGTTCAGAGCAGAAAAACAAAAGCATTTTGACTTGTGAGTGGTGCTACACCTGAACTTTAATGTAATAAATGGTTTCATATTACCCTTATCCACTAGAGGGCAGTCATGCCTCAGTTTACATTCATCAGGTCAACTGAAAGCTTTAAGCTTCAGATGATGTGCACTGGATCCAGTAGCTGAAGTACAAAAACAGTGACAAACAAACCGGAGTAAGCAAAGTTCATCTTTCTGAATATAGACACAAATCTCGACAACAGTTTAAATATAGTTTTACTTTACAAATAATAAAAATAACAGGCCTCTCTGGGTAGTTTGCAGACTGTTAATAAGGCTTGGGTCCCTAAGGGAAATCATAACATTTTTCAGCTCAGCTCTCTCCATATTGGAACACATGATGAATGATTTGCTGACTACACAGATATGGTCCATATCAACTTCCATGTGGCATACAAAGAACATATACAGATATAAACAAGCAAATTGAGCTTGTTTTGTCAAAAATGTGAAATTAAATAAAAACTTAAAACAACAAAATGGATTTTTAGTTTCACAGCAGACACTTTCTATTGTGCTTCTAGAATGACATCCTCATTGTGAGATGGTATTTGGGCAAAACTCTTTGTTATATGCATACAAACACAGAGATACATATCAGTAAGCTTATGTCACTACCACAACACAGCTCTAATACTAATGTAAGCACACACACACATACATACATACATACATCATCTAAACCGCTTATCCTTCTGGGTCGCGGTGGGGAGCTGGAGCCTATCCCAGCTGTCATTGGGCGGAAGGCAGGATACACCCTGGACAGGTCACCAGTCCATCGCAGGGCAGTCATACACATTCACACACTCACACCTAGGGGCAATCCAATCGGCCTGACTGCATGTCTTTGGACCGTGGGAGGAAACCGGAGTACCCGGAGGAAACCCACGCAGACACGGGGAGAACAGGCAAACTCCACACAGAAATGAACCTGGTCGCCCGGCCGGGAATCGAACCCAGGCCATTCTTGCTGTGAGGCGACAGCGCTACCCACTGCGCCACCGTGCCACCCCTAATGTAAGCGTCCTTATAAAAAGAATTTAAGGACTTGTCCCCATAATTCAGTAACATTTTATTCACACTGTAGTGAAACTTGGCAAAAATCTTATCCGTTTCTTCATATATAACAGATTTGTTTTGTGTGACAATGTGACAAAACAAAACCACACTGAACCTGACGTTTTCAATGTGTACTATAATCCTATTTATATCTTATATGTGGCAATGTGACCTCTGTAGAGTCAGATCAGAAATTCATGCAACATTTACATCAATCCAACTGAATTTTCATCTTAATTTTGTATGTGCAGATTCTGTTTGCCTGCTATTTTGGTTACCCTTCAAGTCTTTCATTTTGGAGGGAAAAACAAATAAACATTGTGCTTTACCATCACAGAAATCAATTTAATAGCTTTTCAATATCGCATTTACTTCAAGGATATATTGCAAAAAAAAAGAGAAACAAAAGAGACAAAGGAGATTCACTCAGATCAAGTCTCTTTATCCAGTATATGTCACCATTTTGACACTGAATTTATGTCCCTTTTTCTCTCTATAGCAGGCAAATGAAAGAAACTCAGCTTCCTTTCTCTGTTTAGTCAGGTTTCACCATTAAAACAAGAACAGAAATTTACTTTATTTTGCACACGTTGGTCAGTCTTGGGACTCAGTTTGAGATCTTACCTTTATCGACTCGGGACTCAATATGAGACTTTCCTGAGGTGACTTGGGACTCTGTTTGAGACCTTCCTGTACTGACTTGGTACTCAGCTTGAGACCTTCTGGTACTGACTTGGTACTTAAGACAGGATCAAGTTGAATCTTGTGTGTAGTGACTTGAGACTAGACTTAGGACTTAAATGTACTAACTCCAGACCCGAGACTTGCCTGTAGTTACTAGAGACTTGACTTGAGACTTATCTGTACAGACTTTGGACTTGACTTGAGACTTACCTGTACTGAGTTGGGACTTGACTTGAAACTTACCTGTTCTGACTTGAGGCTTGACTTGAGACTTATCTGTACTGACTTGGGCCTGACTTGAGGCTTGCCTGTACTCACTCGGGAATCGACTTGAGACTCCATGGTCCTGACTTGGGATTTGTGTTGACTTGAGACTTGCCTGTATTGACATGGGCCTCGACTTGAGACTCCGCTGTTTGAGGATTTGACTCAATACTTAACTGTCAAGACTTACGACTTGTTACTTGCAACTCAATGAGCCTCATTTACCATCTGTTCTTAAGAAGAAATTTCTTCTTAAAACCCACTTATGCAGTTTTTATGAAGATTTTGACATTCACCAGTGTTTTCTTATTTGGGATTTGTTCTTAGGTAAGAACAGAATCTGCACACACTCGAGCACAAAGGTGTGAACAATTCTGTGGTTTAAGAACACGTCATGAATCTGACATAGACTTTTTCTTAGGATCATTGTCAAGAACAAGTTTAAGAAAAAACTTAAGGTATTAGTGAATGAGGCCCAATGACTTAACAACTAACTACATCTGACATGTTTTGAAGAGACACCCCCCTCCAAAAGTGTGTCATTTGAACACTGGTTTTGCATGTTTGCACTGAGTGTGCAGCAGTGAATGTGTAGCACAGTGTGTGCATATACTGTATGCGTATGTTTGCGTGTTTGTCCCATTTTACATTTGATATGTTTTTACTATTTAACTTCTCAATCCCTGATTTCTGTATTGGCTTAGCTACATTGTAAATGAGGGTCTCCCTTAATGTACTCTGAGTTTAAATAAAGGTTGATTTGATTGATTGGGTGGTTGCAGACATATTTGTGGTGTCTAGTGAATAATTTGAACGTGGGTGGTCTCACAGTATAGCTT